AGGCATCGAGACAAGACGTATCGGTGGCAGGAATGCAGGAGACACGAAGGGCAGGTCGAACGGAATTTGCAGCAGCGGGTGTCTGGGTGTTCTGCTGTGGCACGGAGACTGGTGGAGTCCATGGTGTGGGGATAGTCGTCAAAGAGTCACTGTGCAAGACATCCACGTTCACCACGGAGTTTATTGACGAACGCCTTATGGCCATGAGGTTTCTGTTGGCAGGCCACCGTGGAGCGGTCAACTTCGTAGCCGCGTATGCTCCAACCGAACCTTCAACCGCCGACAGCAAGCGCGTGTTCTGGGGAAAACTTGACAGTCTCGTGCGGAGGATCCCTTCCAAAGAATGTGTGTATGTCCTACTGGACGCCAACGCGCGGACGGGAGATAGGTTGGACGGATGGGACGAAAGGGTGATAGGAATGTACGGGCGTGATGAGCTCAACGACAATGGCATGCTGTTGTTGAACTTTGCAACGCAAAACAGGCTACCTCCCGCGAACACGTTCTTTGAGACACGCAAGGGCGGAATATGGCACACATACAACGGTGTGTCGGGAAACGATAGCCAGCGCCTTGACTACATCCTGACAAGGCAGGCACATCACGGCCGAGTATCTAACGTGGTCGTCATCCCCCAGCCGGTTCGCCCAGTCAAAACAGACTCAGACTACAATATGGTAGTAGCCACCGTCAACCTCGGTGGCAGGCTTGCCCCCAACCGTGCAGTCCGGACTAAACCGAAACAGAAGCAATTCAACCGACGGGAATTGCAGTTCGAAGCAGCACGGTGTGCGGTGACTAATCGGTTCCTCCTCAACCTCGACACACGACTGGACGAGCGAACAACCACCGCCGCGAAATTGGCGACCGACTTTACCAATGCTCTCCTCGACGCAGCGCGGACGACCCTGGGGGAGGAACCGCGGAGACGCCGCACGCAGGAGTGGTGTGAGACCCCAGAGACGCGAGCAGCGCTGGAGCAGGCCCTTACCAAACGTCGGGAAGCGCGCCGGGCGATGAGGGGCAACTGGAACTCAGCGACGTGGAGGGTTCTCAAAGCAGCGTGTGAGGGAGTGGCTACAGCAGTCGAAACGGGCATTTATGCCCACCTGGACGGATATGTGACTGAGCTCGAGGAAATCTACGAAGATCGCGACATGCGAGGACTGTACCAACACCTCAAGAGATCAGTGGGCCTCAGCGGGAGACAAGCGGGGGGACAGCAGTTCGTCGCGGATGAGAACGGCGTGTTGCTCCGGAACAGGGACGAGATCCTCCAGCGGTGGGCGAGATTCTTCAGTACCCTGCTCAACACCAAATCCCCCACCCTGAACCCACACACAATCGAACGAGTGACGCAGCAGCCAGCGACACGTGACACTCAACGGTTGGGAGATGTGCCGAACTCGAGGAGGTGGCACGGGCGACGAAAGGCCTCAAGAACTGGAAGGCACCCGGCCATGACTCCCTCCCTGCCGAGTTGCTCAAGATCGATGACGACGAACCCTTCGTCCTGGGACACCTCCATACCATCCTCGTCAAGGTGTGGAACGGAGGAGATGTTCCGCGAGAGTGGAAGGATGCAACCATCAAGGTGCTGTACAAGAAGGGTGACCGGTCCAACTGTAACAACTACAGGGGGATTTCGCTACTATCTCACGTAGGCAAGGTCCCCATCAAGATCATCACCAACCGTCTAAGCGCCTTCTGCGAAGCCAACAACATCCTCCCGGAGGAACAGTGCGGATTTCGACCCGGGCGATCCACCGTCGACATGCTGTTCGTCGTGCGCCGCCTCCAGGAGCTGGGGCGGAGAAACAAAATACCGCTCTACATGTGCTTCGTCGACTTGAAGAAGGGGTATGATTCGGTGGACCGAGGGATGCTATGGAACGTGCTGGCTAGGGCCGGGATTCCCGCGAAGCTGATCGAAGTCATCCGCCAATTCCACGATGGAATACGGGCCCGGGTGCGCATGGACGACGGAGAACTATCGGACTAGTTCTTCGTGAC